TTTCTGGAGAAAACATTTTTTATTCATAATTATATTAATTCTATGGCTAAAATATATGTTGTTTAATCATATTGTTTTGTTCTAAACCTAAATCAACTCAAGAAACATGGTTTTATGTAAATAACAGATCTCACAGATAGATAAATTGTTAATGTAATTGGAAATAATGTTGCCAAGAAATGTAGGCTATTTATTTACCTGTTTACAGGGAGGTACTTAAAGAGCTCTGTGGCATTGGTTTTTACAGAAAATAATTATAATTAACTACAGTTACTGTAAACATGTGTGCACTTTAACAATATTTGAGTCACAGGGGAAGCAGGCAAATCTTTGAACAGTCAGCATAGCTTTCTAAAAACTGGTTAATAGTTAATGAAACAAACAGGCAAATAATCATTTCACTAGAAGGGTAGTACCAATATTATCATGCCAAGGGCAGCAAGGAAACTGGACATAAAGCTTGGTTTTATTTTGGTTTGTCATTAAGATTTGGTTCTCCTGCATCGTAAAGAAAGTTCACTGGGTAAACTGGCTCCTAGAAATCTGAACTAGCCCTGCACCTGGGTGACTTATGTGCTAACCATAGTTCATACTTCCTAAATGGTAATACAAAAAGTCACAGATAATTCATGGGAGTAATAAGTCTTGGTTATCAAAACCCTCCAGATGTCTAGACATGTCATGCAAAAATAAATGCCATTTTAAGTCCAAAAACTAAAGTTATTTTAGTAAAGCGTAGCTAAAATAAATCTGAATTATTTTGAACATTTTTTAGAGAACTATCAGAAAAAAAGGTTTTTTTTCCTTTTCAGTTCCAAGAGCTTAAATGAAACATTCATGCATTAAATTCAAAGTCTGACTGTCAAGTCATTTCACTTTAATAAAAATTTGAATTACCTGCCTTAGGGCATTATTAAATATCAAATAAAAAGCACACATCCATAAGTCTGATTTCCCGATATAATTTTTATGTAGCAGTACGACTAGATTTGTATTACACATTTCAAGATAAAAGGATCAAAAATGTATTCATAAAAGGATACAGTCAGAAGTGAAGTCGCCTTTGAAAGAATTTCTGCACCATTCTTAGGAATTTGGGGGAAAATGACCTCCTTTTAGTAATCTCAGCCACCAAGACAAGGACATAAATCCATCTTCTCTTAAAATATCTAAACTGCAATTAATCGAAGACTGAAAATTACACACTGTCCTCCTATCATACCATGAATACGAAGTATCTGAAATATACGTAATCTTCTCATAAACATTTAAGAGTGTGTGTGTGTGTGTGTGTGTGCGCGTGCAAGAGAGAGATAAAGTAGTGATGGTTACTTAGATATTTAGAGACAGGCAATTCTGGTGTAGAACCAGATATGGATCAAAAATTAAAGCCAATAATCTTATTTCATAAAAATCGTCATTTATAGTTACCTACATTCAAACAGAGTATACCAAACCTACACTGGGGAAATTCATAAATTCATGTTCACCAACCTCACCGCCCCTCTCTGCCTGGTCCTCCAACCGGGTCGTGCCCGTAAGCCCTCCGGACCCTCACTCTGCACCCATCTCCCAGCTGTCTGGCAGCGCTCACCTCTTCTAGCTTCTACCCAACCCTCCTTAAACAGTAAAGCAAGTCATGAAACGCTGTCTATAAACCGCCACCTCCTTCCTTCCTGTGATAGCACAAAGTGTCCGTTCCCATAACAGCAGTCAGTCTCCACGTGTGCCGAGGGCCCCATCCCCTGGCAACTTTTCAGGGACTTCACTGCTAGGACTAGCCCCTCGAGAAACAGCACCTTCAGCCCTGCCCATCCACTGGCTCATTCCCCCTCCCCCCGCCACACACATACAGAAAAGTTTTACTACTTCTTTTGTTTAAAAAAAAAAGTCTCATTCCCACCACAAAAAAGGAAATGATATATATGGGACATGACAGAGATGTTAGCCAACGCTAAGGTGGGAATCATATTGTAATATAAAAATGGATCAAATCAAAACACACATCGGACACCTTAAACTTACACACGCTTGTCTGAAGCTGCCACCACAAGGTATCTCCACCCCCTCCCTTCATGCCCAACTTCTGCCCACAGCAACCGCCTCCCTCGTCCTCCTGCCACCCTGAGTGCCAGCGTGGCAACGCTCCCTGACCTCTGTCCCGCAGTGCTTACAACAAGGGGCCCCCAGGCAGGTTGCTTGGGTCCAACTTCCAGTTCCGCTGCCCAACGGCTTTGAGCAGATGACCTAACTTCTCTGTGCTTTGGTTAACTGGTCATAAAGCATCCCGTAAGATTTTATGAACATCCGAGGTCATCCCCATGTAGCATGAGAACATTATACATACACACTTGTATGTATAAAATCTCTATGCCCACGACTCCCGCATTCTGTTCAAACCCCTTTTCTGATCTCCGCTCTCGAAATTCCAGCTTCCTTCACGCCAGGCCCACTGTTGTGACTGACAAGCCTCTCTCAGTCCCCTCCCGCTCTCCATCTCAGACAGAGTCTCTTCCGGCTTCCCTCTTGTCACGCAATGGCACTCTAGCCACAGTTTCTAAAGCCCCAAACCCCGGGTGTTATCTTTGATATTTCCATCTCCCCCCACCCTCATCCAATTTATCCCTAGATATCACTTTCCAAGACCCTTTCACATATGTCAGCTTCTCTCCATCTGCACTGCTCCTAGGCTGGTATCCATGCCTGCATGCCTTTCACCTTGGCTACCCAGTGGACCTCTAAAATATCCTTCCACCGCCACAGCCTGGCCCACAATAATCTGATCCATTTGTTCTCCAGCCACTGTGATCTCCTGAGAAGGCCACTCCCCTGAGAACGCTTAGATCTCAGCACACTGACGATGAAATAAAGATGTCTTAACACGGCTGCCGAGGCCCTCTAAGTCATGGGGTCCTGCCTGACCTTCCCTTTTCATTTCCATACCCCAGACTCCCAAGGCTTCTTTCGGGTGCATCAATGCATCAAATTTTTATCACCTCCACAGAGACTGGGCCCTCGGGGTCTCTGCAAAAGATATTCCCTCTATCTGAAATCTCCTTCACTCCATTTCTTGGTTCTTTTCATTCATGGAATTTATTAACTGTGTATTTTTTAACATCTTTATTGGAGCATAATTGCTTTACAGGGTTGTGTTAGTTTCTGCTGTATTACAAACTGAATCAGCTATATGCATACATATATCCCCATATCCCCTCCCTCTTGCGTCTCCCTCCCACCCTCCTTATCCCACCCCTCTAGGTGGTCACAAAGCACGGAGCTGATCTCCCTGTGCCAGAAGTGTTTGTTTCTCCATTGTCAGGTTCCCCATCTTAGACTCTAGCTTTTATGAGGGCAGAGACCACATCTGTTCTTCTCATCTCTGTATACACAGAACCAATCACGTAGTAGGTGCTCAATAATGATTTCTGACTGAATATTATTTTAATTCTTTAGCTCATCCGTTATAAGGCTCAGCTTAAAGCGCTCTGGGATGTTCTCCATGGTTAACATATATGAATTACTGAAAGTCCCTTCTCATTCCTGCCACAGGTGACTTTGCCTGCCCGCATCATCATCCCCATCACCTCGTCATCTGCCGGCTGACACAGAAACGGAGAAGGAACGAAGGGCTGGAACACAGCTGGCTGATACAGGACACACGTAAGTTCTAAGGAATTTCTTGTTACGTGCCATGATGGATTCAAAGTAAACTCAACACGTTTCAACCCTTAAGAAGCTTGAAATCTGACACAGGAAATAAGAAATATACGAATAGCTAATTGGAAGAAAAAATGTGAAACAAGAGGTACGATATAAGGGACAAGGAGAGAATTCCTGCTGAGGACCGTATGCAAGTTGGGCCCCTAGTCGGCTAGGGTTTCAACGAGCAAAAGGAAAGGGGGGAAGGGCTGGGTGAGCAAAGCACATTCACAGAAGAGAAAAGACAGATTGGCTGGAGTACTGGGTACATCAGTAGAGTAATAATAGAGGGGCAAGAAAACTGGAGAGGGAAACACATGGACAATGTGATCACCCTTTAAAATTCCTATATCAGCTGTCTGGCTCATGAGACTGTGAGCTCCCTGAGGCCAGAGATTTCTGTTCCTCTGTGACTCCCCGGTCCATTGTACCCTTCACACGGGATGACAGTACATACTCTTAACGGTCCATTAAACAGTCAGAGCTCTGACCTGACTCCTAGGAAACTGTTCCAACAGATGCTTCCCTCTTACGAGAAGCAGTGGTTTCCCAGCAACACACACTGACCTAGGTACACGCCCTTGGGCAACCTACAAGGTGAAGAAGTAACCCAGTACAGAGGCATTTATGTATATTTTATCTTTTCCATGTTTGTGATGTTTTACTTTGTTAGTCCTTAAGGGTAAGGAATACAAACACTGAATTCGATATATTAAAATGTACAGATTAGGTTTTAATCAGTACAGAAACATCCTACACTCAGATAATTAGCAAGGGCTTCTTGATCTATCGAATAAAAGCACTTCCATAGGACAAGTGTTTTCATTCATGCCAGATCTGCCCTCACCTACCCACCCCGATAAACAAGACGACCAAATCTGCACTGAACAACAAGGGCCACTTTGAGGCTCAACAGGTCCCCCAGTCCCTTCCCTTACGCTCCCCCATCAATAGGAGGTGACAGCTGCGGTTTCAAGGGTGCGACAACATAGTAAAGTACCGAAGAGGTACTTGCATGTCACTGTTCCCCTGCCTCAGGCACCTTCCCTTATGAAAGCCGATATTAGAGCAAAACTCAGAATGAAAGGCTGCTCTGCTCGAAAACATAAGGACTGTAGATTTCTGTCCAACACGGCATGAAATTTTTACGAACCACCTGACTTGTGATTAATGGGGCTTGAGAATGTGTCCTAGATTTAAATGAAGTGCGTTGACAATGAGAGTCGCTTTGGTGTGACAGGCTCAGCTGTGTGTGCCTCATTTTCCTTGCTTAATCCGAACATACCCAGATGAAGACGCACCGGCTTCTGCTCTCTTCAGCTACTGAAACGCGGCTCTAATGACTCTGTCACTGAGTGGCTGAGTGGGTCTAAAATTGTCTCCCAAAATCCCATCACAGCCTTCCACAAGCTCTGCCCCTTTGGCATGTGTCCTCAGCCTTCGAAATTCTTCAATCTGAAAATAAAAGCAGAACAAAACAGATTAGCCACTTACCGGCCATGAACAAGACTGCAGTTTCATCAATGGCTTAAAATATGCATAAATTATAAGAATTTAGAAAGAGAATTAAAATTAAACTTCAAAGAGAGAAAAAGAACTTCATCCTTCCAGACCTAAGACATTAGACGCAACCCCTGCAAGAAGAATGAAGACTGCAGAAGCAGGGATGAAGGTCTGCAGACAACCCAAACTGCCATGGAAACCTGCTGGATCTGTTTGTACAAAAATGATACACACTTCTCTCAAGAAGCTCTTATGGCCGCCTGTGACATGATGAGAGAAAGTGAACAAATGAAGCAGTGTTCTGAAATGCTTCCCAAGTATCTCTTTAAGTAATGAATTCTGGTGTTACTGTATGCTAACACTGACCAGATGTTAAATGTATCAGATGGAGGTTTTTTCATCAAAAGACTCCCTTTGATGTTTGTCTAGCCCTCTGGAGAGCACAGGTCCAAAGAGTGCCTCTGATTTTCCAAAAGTTTAAGCCCATCATCCTCCCTTGGCAAGAGCGATTTTCAAGTTCATCTCCCTTTTCAGGAGGCCTCCCCAGATACCGCGGTTTCCTGTTACACACGAAGAGGTTGCCACAGTCCCACGGGACCGTTCCCATCAAGGGCACTGCAGTTTCCCTGGCTTGCCGGGTCTGCACCTCCTAAGAACCCATAGTCTGCCAGACACAACCCTCTGGGAAGTGTCTGAACAACCAGTAAACATGTGATAAGCATTCGCCAGGCTCACTGCCATCTAGCAGTTGACTTACCTCTGTTAAGTCGTGGTCTGTTATTTCATTTAAATGCCCCATAAAATCACATGCCACAGATATTCTTCCTTCCTTATACAAAAGGAGAAACTGAGGCCACATGGGTTAAGGAAGTTTCCAGATTAGCCGGGTCTGACAATGCCAAGTCCAGCTGCTCCTTTCCCAGCTTCACAGCCACCTCTTCAGAAATTCTAGTCATCAGTAGACCCTACATCTGGCACTTATCCCAGGATGTTGAGCAAGTGTGATCTGAACAGCATCGATCCACCAAAAGTTCACCATCTGTGAATCAGAGGCTTCTGCCTACAAAGGTTCAAACAGCACACCCACAGACTTCTCCCAATCATGCGAGAGATTAACTAATTCAGGGTTCGAATAAAAGTCTAGAGACCCCTAGACTTTAGGGGACCCATGAAACTCCTGAATGACTTGTAAAAATTTCCCTGTGTAGTAGTTTCTTAAGAAGAGGTTCCTGACTCCAAAAGAGTTGAACCTCACAAGATTCAAACCATTCATATATGCGTCGGAAAACAAGAGTTGGGGAAAATTAAGTGGCTTGTTAGATCAGAACCCAGGTTAGAAATCTGACTTCTGATGTTCTATTTTTCCATGTCTTCAAATACTGTTTGATTTCACTCAATGGGATAAGCCTGATCCAACTAGAACTGTCCTGTTTTTTAAAATAACGGCCACGTGCTGTATTTATATAGAAGTGCCGGTCAGCTAAGACATCAGCTGTTTGATCTACATAATGGTCTTCCACTAGACCGTCACAGGGTCTTAGAGGGGGGAATATGGCAGCACCCATATTGCTTGCTGCATCTGAAAAATGTCTAGAGCCACGGCGGCAGGAGAGTCCCCCGTAAAACACATCTCTCTGAAATGCCAATTTTTCTGAAGTAACCACCGCTCGGAACCCTTTAGTCACTTCAAATGGTTTCAAGTACGCACTGCGTTATCTCATGCTGAAATGAGACAGAGTGAGAAAGGAACAGAATAATAGTCCAGGATAAAAGTCTTCAGCAAAACTCAAATGTCATGGCTGTACAGAGACTATCGTATCACATATATCAGGATGTACGATTTCATCGATTTTTAATGCTACTCTACTTAAACATGGTATTTGTTTTTAGCCAATTTGAAAGAGACGGATGGAAAGGACAGAGCTCCAACACTTCAGAGACAAGTCCTCACCTTCTGAAGGTAGCAGAGCTGAGCAGCCACTCTCCTCTGAACCCGGGTGGCACGCCAGTGGGTCTCAGACATTTACTGCGACCTCCTTATTGCAGGACCCCGATGATTCACTCAAAGTTCTGCTTTCTTCATGTGTGCATTTAAAGGGCTAATTTCTAGGGTCTGAGGTTTGGCACTCATTAATTTCAGTAGTTCCCGAGGTCCTGCGCACATCCTATAATAGACTTATTTTGACTTACAGTTCATGTCATCATGTTAGAAGAGAAAAATAACACATAAAAGTCGGCGTTCTCATCTTATTCTCTTTCATCACCAGGCGATGAGCCATGAATTAGAGGAACTGAATTCCTTGTGGTAGTAGTTAAATAGAGGGAACAAAGCAAATTGTGCTTAAATAGTCCATATATGTGTATATATAATGAGATTTCATATATATATATACACACACACACACACACACACACATATCTCTCCACCTTTCATGTACTGAACCTTGTTGTTCTGGTTTCATTTTCTTCAACCCCATTATCTAACTTTCTTTCTAAAATCACTGCTCTCTCTTCCTGACCTTTCATCCCTAAAACAACCCTCATTCTGTCACTGATCAGTCCTTAATCTGATCTTTTTTTTTTTTTTGAGGAAGAGCTTAGAGAAAAGAACTTTCTTTCCCCAGGAACACTGATGTAAACTTGCCTATCATCCCAAATCCCCAGCTCTGGGCTCGGCCAGTCGTCCCATCATTAGGATAAGTTACTAAGGAGCCACACAGATCGAAACTTACTCGAGACGTAGAGATTACAGAGCTCGTGACTCCACGGGAAGTGCTCTGTATCATGGAAGATGCTGAAGAAATACAAACTTTCTCACAAATCCCTAAAAATAGCGCGTTTTAAGAAAGGAAAGAGGGAGTCTCCCAGGAGCAAGAGAAAGTCCTAGAGTTACACTGCTTAAGGACAGCAGCCGCCAGCCAGCCCCGTGTGGCCGCCAAGCATTCGAAATGTTGTTAGTCTGAACTGAGATGTACTGGAAACGTAGGATTCATACACACAAAGTCAGACTTCGTATGAAAATAAGGATGTGAAAAATCTCATCAATGGTCTGTTACACTGATTACACGTTAAAATGATATTTTTGATTCACTGGGTTGAAACAGACTACCTGAATTAACTTCACCTGTTTATTTTGACTTTTTTTACTGTGGCTACTAGACAATTTTCTCTCACATATGCGGCTCACGTGGTGTTTCCATTGGACAGGACTGGTCTAGTGCCGCCCAGCACACCAGCCTTCAGGCACTCAGCGTTCTGGGGTTAAGACTGCTGACCTCAATTAGCTGGGGACATAAATGCAGGTAGATGAGAAACAGTGGTTCTCAAAGTGTGCTTCCTGGAATAAGTGCCCCAGACCCACCAAATCAGCAACTCTGGGGTGCGGCCCAGCAGTCTGTGTCTTTTTGTTTGTTTTGTTTTGTTTTGTTTTGCGGTACGCGGGCCTCTCACTGTTGTGGCCTCTCCCGCTGCGGAGCACAGGCTCCGGACGCGCAGGCCCAGCGGCCATGGCTCACGGGCCCTGCCGCTCCGCGGCATGTGGGATCTTCCCGGACCGGGGCACGAACCCGCGCCCCCTGCATCGGCAGGCGGACCCCCAACCACTGCGCCACCAGGGAAGCCCCAGCAGTATGTGTTTTAATATGCCCTCCCGGGGGGGATTCTGTTGCACACTCAAATTAGAGAAACACGGACACAGAAGAAAACGCACAACAAATGTTCCACATCGCTTGGACTCATCTTCAAACGTAACCGTGCTGGGGTCCCACAGCATCCTGGTCTGCAGGGTTAATGGCCACTCAAATCCCACATGGAGCATAAAAAACGCGTGCTCCTCAGAGGTCCAAGGCCAGACGGGCTCCCAGACCCCACAGGCCACAAGCATCTGTGCTAGAAATCGGGCTAGGAAGAGTCCCACTTTTCAATCCACAGGAAGTCAGAAATGGGGAAGGATGAAGAAGAGGCAGGATTGGGAGGAAACAAAATTTAAGATGGTTTTCCGAGTTCTAACGGGCATATATCCACACGGTGAAAACCAATAACGACATCCATATTCCTCTGTTTCACTGGCGTTACTTGAAGTTGAAAGAGAAAGGACTAAACAAAGACAGACACATCTAATTTGGGAAAAGTAGGTAAGTTAAGAAATAGAAACAGATGAGTAAGAGGAACGTGCAGAAAAAGTGGGGAGAAAAAAGACAGGAAAATGAGAGTAAAACTGAAGAATCATTTGTGTGTGTGTGTGTGCACATGCTCACATATTTGTACATGTGCCATTATATCAGAATACCACGTGTGATCAATTCTGAATAGTGTTCACATTTTAAGGTCACTGTGAAATCAGAATGTGTCTTACAATTTCCATTGTCAGATTTGATTAAATTTGGTATTTTTATTCCGCTCTTAGAATCCCATTTCCAAACATAACAATCCAGCTGAGGGAATTCCCTGGTAGTCCAGTGGTTAGGACTCTGTGCTTTCACTGCTGTGGCCTGGGTTCAATCCCTGGTCAGGGAACTATGCCTCACAGTGCAGCCATAAAAAACCAAAAACAAACAAAAACAAAAAACAATCCAGCTGAAAAAAAAAAATTTTTTTTTTCACTTCGGCTTCCTAAATGCTTTAGACCACTGTTTATCTTACAGTAATTTAACGGCTACAGATCATTTTTAAATGTTTTAAATGACACTCATCCAAATCCATCCAATTGTGTGGGTTTTTTCCCCTAGCATAGGGTGTGCTAACCAGGAATAACATGAAAAAGTCAACCAATCAGGAGCTTCCAGTCCCAGATGCTAGAATTCTTAGTGCCCAGGAAGATGCAAATGGTCCACGACAGGATTAGCTGTCAACACCACACTTCAGCCGCTGACTCCTTCTCCCCCGCCCCACCTCCAGCAGCTGTGCATTTCCTAGGAAAGCATTATGATCTAGAGCTTTTTCCTTAATTACATTGCAAGTGCAGACACTATTATACTGTGACAGATGACGCATTTCAAGATACAATTGTTTCTACAATAATATCCAGCTGCTTTATTACATGTTACGCCTATAAGAGGACACATGATTTTTTCAATACAAAGTTTTCTATTTCTCAATATAATCAACTTAGTAGCCACTCCACCTGCCATTTGCTATTTTCTGTATCAATCCTCTGTCCCTCTCTTTCTGCGTCCTTCTCTATATCTCTCTGCTCCTCTTTAAGTACAACAGGATGAGGCTTCTCAATTTTTCTTGGTTTTGATTCTAGAATCACATCCTCTCTCTTGGGTTCCTTTTGTTTGTACTGCCCTCTCTGGACCTTCTCTATTTTGGGCTCTGCCTTCTATGAAATTATATGAGCAGCAACAGTGAAACATTCAAGTCAAGGACAGACTGATTTATATTCTCTTAAAATTATAATTTTTTCCTAAATCACTCTAAATTCCATTTTAATTTACGTGTGTGTGCGTGTGTGTCCATTTCAACATTCCTGCCCTCTGAACAGATGCTATAATGGAGCTCTGTGCTAACAGAACCTACATCTTTTTTCTTGAAAAGCCACAGCGAACTGGAAAGTCGTCTATTTCCAAGAGCAGTTGGGATTATTCCTTCCAATGGACATTCCTTTGCCTCTGGCTCCCTTTGAGGAAGATACAGCTTATTTCCCAATAATTGAGGAGCATCACTTAGTGGGTTAGGGCTAGACTTTGTCACTGGCCTTACTCAAAGGGACAATACAAAGCAAGGCTCCCTTTGAAGACAGCGAGACTGAAAGGCATGATGATTTGTCTCTGGGTTTTCGCATAGCATACTGGTCGACGTGGAAGTAAAACATCCTAGTTCACATTTACAGACTGTCAGTTAACATTCCCCATACCGTGCTAGCAAGGGAATCCTTAATGGAATTCTAAGTGGAACTGAGAATTTTCTTTTCTGTGGCTCAGCAAGGTTAATTCGAACTGACTTGCAATAAATAGACATTTATTGTGGTTATAGAGAAAAATTTTATTTTTCACTAAAAGATTTGACCTATTTTTAGAAAATTACCTTTAAACTGCTGAACAAATGTGACTGTAGACCCCGAGCTCCTTCTACTACTTCTGCCAGTCTCCTCTCCTTGTGACTAATGTCAGTTAAAACTTTTACCCTTGGTCCCCTTCTCCTTTCAGCTCAACACTCCAGGGAAACATCTCACTTCAGTTAACAATTCAGTTAATTGGCAATGATGGTCCTTGTTCGTGAATCTTGTTTGCATGATGGCAACTCTGAAAAGAAATGAAGGCTTTCTCCATGGTAGAGCCTCAAGGCAAACTGGTTGGATGGGCTGGGGTGTTGACCTGGAACACCGAGTGCAGCATAACGGAAGGGATGGTGGAGGAATACTACTGGAGAAGAGAAGCCAAAGCTCAGCAACAGAGAAGTGTCAATACCAGGATCCACCAGTGAACACACAAGACCAAGAAACAGGAGTCAAGGGTGAGAACCCAGCAGCGGCATCTGGGCACGTGTTTATACAGCGTAGTTATTTTCTACCTGGGTGGGCAGCATGCATCCTATTTAAATTCTCTGTAGCATTTGTCACTATTAACCTTTCTTCTCCACATCTTGGAGATACTCTCTCCTGTCCTGGACTCACTCCCTCCTGGCTGTTCCCAAGGCCCTTGGGCAAGTCCCTAGTTCCCTATGTGGTGCCACCTCCTCTACCTACACTGGGGTTTTGCACTCAGCTGGGCTATCTTGCCTCTTCCTCAACTTGAGCTAATCTGATCATCAAATCCATTTCTTCTTCTTGGACGTGAAGCTAGAATTCACTTCTCAGCCTCCCCTGCAATCAGGTATGGCCATGTGATTGAGTTCCAGCCAACAGAATGTAAGCATTAATGGTGTTCGCCATTTCTAGGTCTGGCCCTTTAAAAGCAATCCCCCTTTGAGAGCCTCCACACTCTTTCCCTTCCTGCTGGCTACATGACCACACCTAAGGACCCAGAAGTGAGGTATTAAAGATGGCAGAGTGTCTTTCAACCCAGTTCCCTGAATGCACAAAGAAAAGCCTTGGGCTTCCCTGGTGGCGTAGTGGTTGGGAGTCCGCCTGCCTATGCGGGGGACGCGGGTTCGTGCCCCGGTCCGGGAAGATCCCACATGCCACGGAGCGGCTGGGCCCGTGAGCCGTGGCCGCTGATCCTGCGTGTCCGGAGCCTGTGCTCCGCAACGGGAGAGGCCACAACGGTGAGAGGCCCACATACCGCAAAAAAGAAAAGGCTTCACTGTGAATCAAAAACACATTTGTTGGATTTGTAAAAAATAAATTCTTACTGTGATAAGTCACTGAAGTTTTGAGGTATATCTGTTACAGCAGTTACCACCTTGGCTATTAAATTCCAAATCTATATGCCATTAGTCCAAACCTCTACTCTTAACATTAGACTCAAACTTCTAATTTCTTCCCTCTCCTTTACTAGACTAACTCCTAATATTTTTCAGGAGTTATTCCCTGGACCTCCCAGTCCGGATTGGGTTTCTGTCCTTTGTGTTTCCAGAGCACCTTACTTATGACACAACATAGCTGTCTAACAGTCATCTGCCTCCACCACTCCATGGTGAACTTTTTAAGAGTAAACACTGTGTCTGAATCTCTGCATCCTCTGTGTCTAGTTGGCAGTCAGGAACAGTTTCTTGTAAGAAAAAAACAGATGAATGAATAAATAAAGGAATTGGGGTTTGTCATATTAAAAATACGAAGGCCCAAAGGTGGTGTGATCAAAGTTTCTAAAATAATGAAACAATGAAGATGCTGAATGGGGCACCTTTAAAATTAATCCTTAGAAAAAAGAGAAATAAGAAATTGTTAAAGGTTGAAAGAAGGATTTTAAAGATTTAAGGACAAACAAAAGAAGGCTTTCCTGAGTAGTGAGTAAACTCGAACTTCTTATAAAATGATAGGGGATATAATAAAAGTTTGTAAAAAGTTTCTAAAGGAAACTTGGTTTATTGAGAGGACTGCCCAAGTCTTTTGAGACTGATCATGAAGAACAAGTATAGCCTTCCAGAACACATCCTTAGACAGACCTCTGGGGGATAGGAGACATTTAAAGCTTTTTTTGTAATAATATCAAAACCATTGTTTAAACACCTTGTAGTGATGTTGCCTCCTGCTCTGCCAGCTAACACCCTAGTGACAGCTCACCTTGGAGGCACACACGCTGTGCATTAGCATTTAGAGCACCTATGCTGTACCCAAGGTGGGTGGTAGGTGAACAAAAATGGGGCTAGAGAACAATCCAGAACTTTCCGGGGCATTCTTTTTAGCGCCCTCACCCTCTGCATACAGGATTTTCCTGTGCAAGCCAAGAAAGAGCTATTACAAAGCCTGCATGTGACTTACAGAAATAACCGGCATTCTCACTTTACTTCCAAGACCTTTTTTCTCTCTAATGCCTGGGAAAACCCATATGAAGGAATAACAATAATAACCAAACGTTTGGCTATTTCACTGACTTCTATTTACTCTATAAAAACTGACTTTTAAAATACAGATCATAAATGAGAGCTGGGTTTTCTTCATCCTTGACCTTTCCATTGCTTTCACTGGTTCAAGACATTTAACTTTTATCTGAAAAGATGTGACTGATCTAACTGATCCAAAGGGAGCCAAAACATAAAACAGACGTGTTTCCCTTTTGTAGAGACAACATTTAACCTTTAACTCAGAACTTCATTCTGGAAGATTTAAAAGCACTGCACTCACCTGTAGCTGGGATATTGTTAGAGGGTATCGGAATAATATCCAGGTAACACCTTCACTGCAGGGCGGAATAGTGAGAGAGCCTTCGTAGACCCAGTAATCGCGCAGCAGAGGGTCTGTGCCATCACGTGGGCGTGTCACGGAAAGGCAAGTTAATGAAAAATAATTTGGAAGATTCCAACAATAATTTTCAAAATTACAAACTGTCCAAATAACACTTCTCAGACGGATGTCATTTTTGAACTAGAGCCTCACGTTTGTGTTTTTAATCTAATCATCATGGAGAAAACAATCAATAAAAAACATGATGAATCCTCTTTCTATTATTTATAGCAGTTTCTCTCAATGGGTTACTATACATATTTAAATATGGCTGTATAAACTGGATGTATATAAACTTGATATACTATATTATATATACACATACTTGATATATATACTATATACTATATATATACTACATATCAAGTTTACTCACTTGAGGAGAAGTGTATCCATTTTTTTTTTTTTTTTTACTTTATTGGATGATTTACCTGACTGATTATACCCAATATCTATTGAATGTTTACTACACGTGAAGTGCTCTTCTAAGCATTTTACATTAACTTATTTAACTCTTACAAGAAACCAGTGAGATAGGTCCCATTATTACCCGCACATTTCAGATGGGGAAACTGAATCACAGAGGGTATGTAATATGCCCACGGTCACTGGGCTAACATCCTGGCCAGAGCCAGGATGAGAACGAAAGCGGTCTGGCTGCAAAGTCTGTGTGTTTAAATTATCTTTTTAAAAATTCAGTTAAAATAAATTTTTGTAAAATACAAAAAACAAAAAAGGTCAATAATTTGTAACTATTGGGATTTAAAGGGAGAGACTGCTTAAGTTGTTCCCAGGTGTGATTATTTAGAGCTTTTGATTCTTTTAAGCATGTTAAATCATATATCTGATTTTTTTTAATAAAAATGAGAGACAAGAAAACAGTCTGTGCATTTAACCATGCTGTTCTAGCTACCTCTATATCGCTTCTTCAGTAGCAAAATATTGAAATCGTATTATGATAGAATAAAAAAAATTAGAAGAATTTGTGATTAAATATGATGGGTGAGTATTCAACATATGAAAAAAACTGGTTTGTAGCAGTGCAATTAAATGTAGAAAGTAGAAGATACAATGCATTTGGTTTTGTTTGGAACGCCAAAAAATTTCACATAATTTAGGCAGAGAAATGTGAAGACCAAAATTTTGTACAAAACAACCTTTATCTACAAATTATATTTTGAGTATTTTATATACAATTCTTACCTGTTCAGGCATACCTAAATATTTAGAAATAATAGCTAAATAATATCATTGCAAAGAGGTTATCTTTTAAAATTAGATACAAAGTTTATGTCACACCAGAGATTAATAAGAACTGCACTGACCAATCTTCCACGTATACCAAGGTTATGTTATTACAGCCGTGCTTTACACAGAGGAGGCAATTTGTATGAATGAAAATCCAAAAGAAACCTCTTCGTGGATTAATGGAACTAGTGGTAAAGTGTTTATTATTTCAAAAGGTTTACTCCCAGGTTTAGAGCAATCTGAAACTGGTACCAACTACAGGGAATACAAATTGTAAAGAAACTTTATTAACTAATAAGATATAGTTGTGTATGTTCTGAGGAAAACAGTGCAGTCGTATATATCCACAGTTACAAAATTCATCTTACGCAGATGAATGCTTACCTGGTAATAAAGTGTTAGGATTAAAGCAGGGTATTGTTTTGGACTTCCCCTGAAACAGAAAACAATGTACCCCATGTTAACATAAAATTTCTAAATTTTAGAATAAGAACATTTATGAGCACTAAGATTCCAGATTGAAGTCTTTTCTGAATGGCATTATCAGACCCCACAGATTTGTGTCAATCTGTCTTCTCACTGGAGCCAGCCAGGGTTTGATTCCAACAAGATACTCCTACTCTGAGTCTGTAGCTCTTTTCTCTGCTGCTGCAGCTCAATTTTCCCTATAATTCCAGGTGTGAAACTTAAAATCGTCCAGTGTCCATCTGCCCCATGTCAGCTACCTTTCCGGCTCCTGGCGCATCCACACCAGAGACTTAGGCCTTGGCTCAGGGAATTCTTTAGAAATGACTTTCTTCCTGGTACTACGATCTCAATTCCTAACCTTCTTGGCAGGACGGGCTGCCTCCCAAATTCTCGTTTTGCCCCCTTTGGATTTGGTAGCTCAGCTCTAGGACCTATCCTGGATGCTCTCCTCCTCCAGAAAGGGAGAACTGACACTCAGATGAAAATATTAAATTTCAATACATGTTTATCAAAACTAGATTTAAATTTCAATAAACTATCTGTACCATCACCAATTCACATTTCTGATCACTATTTTAAATAGTCCCATTTAAAATGTCGGTCCTTAGACAGACAGACCTGTCACGCCAGTTGGATGTCTCTTATAAGATTACTCCACTAAGGCAGACATAACAGGGAAGGTAAGTGCATGACCTCTTGCTCTCTTCCTTACTTCTGGGGACTGCTGGACACATTAAAGAATCCAGCTTACTTACCTCCCACCATCCTCCTGTATTTCGTAACGACTGATGTCACATTAGCTGAAGCAATAAAGGAAAATTTCTCAACCCATTTCTATTCAACAAATGCCAGTGAAAATGTGTCCTTGTCCCCTTTTCACCAGCTTCTGTGACCAGTCTGTGCTTTCCCTTGGCGGCTGGATTCACTCTGAGCCTGCACTCAGGAGACCGTCTGTAGAGGTTCTTGCCTGGTTCCAGATGCTCTGGGCTTGAGCTAGTGAGTCTAGAGCTAGCGAGACTGTTTCCAGACAGATTTTAGGGTTGGCCTTGGGTCTTTGGACCCCTGTGCGGTATCTCCAGCACCCACATGGGATTGAACTTCTCCCCCACAAGGCCACTCAGATTCTACTGACTCAATGTGAGCATAAAAGGTACTGTTTATAAGAGAACTGGGCTTGCCGGCAATGCTAGGCCGAATCGCTACAGGCTCAAATCAACCTAAATCACCTTCTGTGGGATATATCATCTTATGGCTTGTATGTACTTGTCTCTTTTTTTCTTTTTACTTAAATACTTTGAAGTGTGGTTGCCACAATTTTTATTTGTTTCATTTACACTACCTTCCTATAACCAGCAGGCAGAAAGGGGTAACTCAACTGGCCTGGGTTGCTCGAATCCTACACAATCCAAAAAAAATTTTAAAGGCCTGTCTTCAAGACTGGCCCCTGGCTGGCTCCTGGGAGACAGTCTCTGAGCCCTTGGAATATGCTGCCTGAGAAGAGTGGCTCTGTGTGCCTGAGGCCTTGGGTCAGGCTGCACCAGCTGGACCAGATAAGTATATCCCAACACTGTGATTTATGGTGAAAGCCCGGTTTTGCTCAGGGTGGGGGAGGGCTAGAGTCAGAGTAGCTGAGGTCTGTCCCTCAGGCATTGCCGGCTGGCATACTGATCCCCAATAAAATCCCTGGACACCAAGGCCCAGGAAAGCTTCCCTGGTTGGCAATGCTTCACACGTGTTGTGACATCACTGCCAGGAGAATCAGGTGTGTCCCTATGCGACTCCACGGGGCGGGGCTGTCTGGAAGCTTGTGGCTCGCTTCTCTGGGACTGTAGCCTTCCGCTGGAAGAAACCACAACCAGGAGGCTAAGCACTTGGCTGTGAGTCCTTTTAGGGAATCTCCCAGCCTGAAGGTGGGCTTGGAAGCCTCTGACACAGCCAGTAGTTTTATTTTCTTTTAAAGAATGACTTACCTTATATTGAATATCCTGGAGGATTTCAGTTACAGCCTTCAGGCCTACGTGTTCTTTTCCGATCTGCAAAGTGTAAAGCATAAACCAGAACCATAAAGCTTTTAAATATGTAGCTTCTACTTAAAATAACCAACAGAAGTGAAGTTCAAGTTCACCTGAATGTCCTTCCTAGGGAACAAATGCCCTTTTCAATAACAGCCAGGTCACATCTACTGAAGGCAATTAAAGGTGTAACAGTAACAAGCCAGTACAAGAAAGTATTAGATATGTTCCTAGACATTTCCAAGAATCCATTCCAAATTCACCTTGCTAAGTACAGGTTTACCCACTGTGCTATATATATATAAAGTAATAATACTGCAATATAGAAATTTCAAGGATATTTCTGAATTAAAATTATTCATCACATGCCCAAAGCCTTCCATTTTCACCCTGGGCATTTCTAGGTCATGACTATAAAGATTTTATCCGTGTTGAAAAAATTTTATTAACTCAGAAAAATGAGTACATGGTTTCACACATACTCATTGTCCTGTCACCGAAATCAGGACATTTCTTGATTACCACAGGACATAGTTCTATAATCCCCTTTTTATTCTTAAATAAATAAGGATATGCTGTTCGTAGCTTTCTGTGCTTTTTTTCCGGGCCCTGCTGAGTGGCTTGCGCAGTCTTAGTTCCCTGACCAGGGACTGAACTCAGGCCATGTCAGTGAAAGCTCTGAGTCCTAACCATTGGACCACCATGGAATTCCCAGTAGCTTTCTCTTTTAAAGCATTATGTATCATTACATTTTTTCAGTGTATAAAATGTTCCAAAGAATTTGAGACTTTAAAAAGAATATGACATTAAATATTCTTGACTCTAACTTGAAAAATTGTAAATGCAATCTGATTTCCATTTTTCAGCCAAGTTTCAACAGTCCATGATAATGGAGGGCAGTCACAGCAGAGACAATTTATAACCTCAGACAAACAATCCTTGTTACGGTTGGCTTTTTCTCTTCCACATAAATTTTGGACGTATATACACTACCAAACGTAAAATAGATAGCTAGTGGGAAGCAGCCGCATGGCACAGGGAGATCAGCTCGGTGCTTTGTGACCACCTAGAGGGGTGGGATAGGGAGGGTGGGAGTGAAGGGAGACACAAGAGGGAAGAGATATGGGAACATATGTATATGGTTAACTGATTCACTTTGTTATAAAGCAGAAACTCACACACCATTGTAAAGCAATTATACTCCAATAAAGGTGTTAAAAAAAATTTTTTTTGGAGAATGACCTACAAGGAGCTAGAAGAGCTGTCACCATGTTTATATTCCCTGTTTCTGTCCACGTGATCCAACTGGGAAACAGGCTAGGTGAAAGGGCATCAGAGGAAAGAGGTGAGACAAGAAACTTACATAACCTAAGATAGGCCAATCAGTTCAAAATAATTGAGACATCATTTTCCAAGTGTTTGCAATTCCTGAGATAGGCACTAAAAACAGAAAATGAATTCTCTTAAGTTAAAAAAATGTATATATATATATAATATGTGCATATGTGTATATATATACACACACACACACACACACACGCACATATATATCTTAGGGAAACTTACTCCTGGGTGCAAAAGCCTGGACCTGTAGGCAGACACCTTCACCCCATCTTCAGGGGAAACAGACCCCTCTGTTGCACTGGTTTAACCACAATGTAGCATTTGGGTGATTACACCCACAGGTCGGCTCTGTCTTTACTTCATGCATCTCTTGTCAGAGCTTAACTCTTTGAAGAGTCCACATCTGAACATTGTACGGCCACACAGTGTAGTGGTCCAGGAGCAAAGGTCACTTGCGTTGGATGCTGGGTTCTGACCCTGACTCTCTTTTCAGTCTCGAGCAAGTTTACCTAACCTCTGTGTCCTGCAGCTTCCTCCTCTATACAGTGGGGCAGACAAAAGTGACGGGGTTGAAGATAAGACTCAGTCAAACAAAAACCTTAGAACAGGGACTTCCCTGGTGGTCCAGTGGCTAAGACTCTGCGCTCCCAATGCAGGGGGCCGGGCCCGGGTTCAATCCCTGGTCAGGGAATTAGATCCCACGGGCCGCAACCAAGAGTCCATATGCCGCAACTAAAATTCCCGCATGCCACAACTAAGACCCAACGTAGACAAATCAATCAATCAATCAATAAATATTTTTAAAAAACAAACCTTAGAACAGGGCACGGTGCACTGTAATTCAGACTACTCTCAATCAGAATGCTACACGGCATCGAATACAGTTCTTACATAAAGTAGCACTTAGTAACTCTTACTGGCTCCTTCTGTCTATAAAGGTTCTTTACCTTATGGGCAAAACTTTGTATTTTGCAACCAACTTCAGCTGCTGCTCAGTCTCTTTTCTTCTTTGTCAAAGTTTTGTCTGAAGGGGTTACAGCCACCAAAAAGAAAATATAGATGGATCCTCTGCACACCTCAGCCCCTAAAATCCTACAGCAGTCCAGGTGGCAACGCAACATGTGACCAAGAGTCTGCCGGGAACCCAGTAACTCCTGACCCTCCCCTCGGCCATCTTTCACCGCCTCCCCAAATGCCAGCCCTCTGGTGAGTTTCCTCTCGGACAACCTCAGCCCTGCACGGCCCTGCGCTTTTCCGCTTCTAACGCTAATCCCCCCTCATTTTCCACCGCAGCCTCTGAAACTGGATGACTCCACAGCTTTGACAAGCTCTCCCACCACCTCCCCCAGGGGGTCTCCGTGAACCCCTGGGGTCTGCTCAAGGCCACCACCCTCCCAGGCCTTTGGAGTGGACACTGCACAGTCTCCCTCAAGACAGGAGTGAGAGCTGTGGCCAGCTCCCAGCTGTCACTTTTAGATGGGTCTTCTACCCCACAAGCCCAAAGCCACCCTCCTCCTCTGAGCGGACTGCCCTCCCCCGATGCGATCCTGCTCTACTGGTCACTTACTGACCCACCGGTTGTTCTCAGTGCTCATCCCCTCCTGCCGTCACTCCGGAGGACTTCAGCATCCCTGTGCGCGACCTGTGCCCTCCCTGGCCTGTCTCTTTACCCCTCAGTCCATGCCCGTCAGCTCCCTCCCACTTCAGCAAACCAATCCTGAGAACACACCCTGCATTTGTCTTCACTCTGAAAACTGCAACTCCAAACAAAGACCATTGCCTCTGACCACAAGTGCCCATCCGGCCAGCTCTCTCTTCTTTTCTCTCTCTTCCTGTTCACCGATCACAAGGCGTCACGCCCCTCAGGTCCCTCCTGGCTTCATCCCTTTCCCTTCCTGCCTATGCTGAATGACACCTCTTCAACCATTCTCCATTCTCTAATCCCTTCGTCCTCCTAAACCTTATGCTCTGTAACGGGTCAATACAACAATTAATTTGTTAGAGGGACTTTCCTGGCAGTCCAGTGGTTAAGACTCTGTGCTTCCATTGCAGGGGGCATGGGTTTGATCCCTGCTCGGGGAACTAAGATCCCACATGATGCGGGGCACGGCCAAAAAAAAAAGAAAATTGCTAGAATTCTCTGCTCCTCTCCCTGGATGGAGAACAGCCCACGATCCGCTGTCCTGTACCATCTGTGATGTCCAATCTCAAGTGGGTCTCCCACAAGGACCGTCAAGTCTATTGTCATTCCCCTCCTGCGCTATCTCAAAACCCAATCCCACACCCATATTTCCTTTGCTCTATAAATAATTTTGTTTTGCATGTCTCAGAGATAGTACAGGTCATCAGGCATAAACTCCCCTAAATTCCTGGCTTTCTTCACCTAAAAATGTGTGCCGTTTGTGCCCACCCTTTCCTCCTGGCCCTCTATTTCGGAGAAGGGGTGGGGCCCGTCCTGTCCAGGGTCAGTCCATCCACCTAAGCTCTCATCCCACGCCTTTCCACCTCCTCTGAGGCTTTTCTACATCAATTATCCCCTTTCTTGCTGGTATGTTTAAACAACATCTACGCTAGCCCTTTTTGCTCAGAATAAAAACACAGGCCCATCTTGGATCTCAATATGAAACAATCTAAACCTTGCTGTGCACATCACCACTAGTTATCACCCCATCTGTCTTTGAGTCAAGCTTCCTGAAAGGGAAGTCTATCCTCACTGCCTGGACTTCCTCCCCTCTGCTTCTCCCAGCCTCTGACCTAAGTGCAAGACCCCCGCATGCAGTCCTTTCCTCTCTGCCTCAGCTGACACTCCCGATCAGCCCTTCTTTCCTCCGTGAATGTTTGCTCTATAGTTTCTGCGACTTTGTTCTCTCCCGAGAAAGGCATTTTCACGTAGATAACCTGGATTTTCTCTCCTATGGAAAGTTAGAGCCAGAGTACAAGCCCCCAAGCTTTGCCTGCCTCCAGTAATGAGCTGGTCCAGGGAACGGCGATGTTTGGTCCCAAGAGACTCGGCTTCCAATCTAGTGCACTATTACTGCATGTCAGCTGTTCTACACTGAGAAGCAGTAAGTGAAAACATCAAGTTATCATACTGAATTCCATTCACAAGTATGTATTGAGTACCGCCTCCAAAGATGAAACTAACATGTTCCCTCCCCTCCTACAGATGACTATTTGGTTATTTGTGTTCTTATTTTTATTTTATTCTTATTTTTTTTAATAATGAGACATTGCCTTCTACTTCTACTGCCTCATGCTGTCAAATCTGGATGCTCTGTTCACTTTCTCAGGTTACAAAAGATGGACTTTAACAGTTATTATTTTCAATATACTAAAGATTATCAAAATATATTTGTAGTATAATTTGAAACATTTTTCATCAACATTTTGTGATTCCATTCTCCTTATACAATGCAGATATAAAATAGAAGGAATATAGGGCCCTGCCTGTGAAAAGCACATGAAATGAATTGAGAAGAAGATTTATCTTAAAATGTAAGGATTTGTTTTAAATTCCATGACATGTGTTATACTTTAAAAACATGGATTTCAAAATACTAAAAGCCTAAATAAAACTGGAAGCCTACTTTCAAACATCAATAAAGAAATATCTTAGAGGTATTTATAACAGGAAATTGTTGGAATTAATACTATTGAAATATATGCCACCCCGAAAAAAAAGAGGTTTCAAAAGGCCCCTTCCTCAGCACTCTTTGGAAAATTAAGTTATTAAGGACCACTAGGTTATCCAAAGGCAGCCTGGAACCACACAGAGTGGACAATGGTTTCTGGTCCTGACTGGTGACATCAAATCCCTGTATGACTATAAACAATGACGTGGCCTCTTTGGCCCTTGGTTTCCCTTCTATAAGAGGCGGAAGGGGGAAGCCTACAATTTCCAGGGTCTCCTTCACCTCTCAATCTTTTATTACATCAAGTAATTACATCAAGACAAAGTTTAAAAGATTCACTTTAGGAACTAAATTAAAATTTTACCTTTGAAAGCATATGGTCTGCTTCTGTATGTTTCACTAAATTTATATAATATTCTTTTTGCCCACCAAAGAGCTCAAATCTAAACTTTGCATTGACTATATCCACCAAGGTCTTTGCCGCTCTCATTTTATCAGTGTTTTCTACAAGGCACTTCAAATCATCTTAGAGTGAAAATTATTAATAACGAATAGCTAAAGGAATCTACTACATGATTATAGTATTGATTTCTCTTAGATTTTGCAGGAAGGCGAGGTCCAAAAATATTTTCTGAAATTCTTTTTCAATAATAAAATGAACTCTGCCTTCAGGAGACGTTTTCTAACTCCTTTCTCCAAAGACCCTGAATGCCACTCCGAAGAAAAGTTCTAATAAGCCAATGAATCATTTTCTACCAGTGAATATGGCTGCTCATCCTTGACCCAGAGAGATCAAGTTTTCCATTTTTAAAGTATCAGTGCTCTCTGTATAGGTGTTTAATGTCACCTCTAAGTAGTAAAAATGAGAGAGAACAAAAAACCTTTTGCAAAATGAATTAGAAATAAGCATCTCTGCACAATATAGCAATCATAGCAGGAGACCATTTACCTGAACAAACAAGGCAATGATGGCGATTCCACGGGGCTTCCCCACAGCCTCATCGATACTGCCAAACAAGGTGGAGTTCCAGTGTATCAGGTGGAGCTGGGTGAGCAAGAACAGACAGGTAACCTCGTTACTAAATGTACTTCCGCTCAGGAAAACAAAGACGTTATCAACTGCTCCTTGACCATATCTGTATGGTGTCATAGGCAACGAGAGTATCACGAACAGACACAGAGGTGACTGGTTTAATATTGGTTTTCTGTATGAATTCCTCCCTTCTCATTTCTGAACAGAAGCAGTGCTGAATGCCACTCAAGTTCTGCTTTTGTCCTAATCAGGAGCACATCTAAGAAGACTCGCAGATTTCACACTGATTTAGCTGCCTTTCCTTACACAGCATCCCCTCTGGCTCTCAATAAAACAGAACTCCGGTCTGGGCACAAACACCAGAACTCATTCGAAGGATTACCACCTACATACTCAAGTACTGTGTCACCCAGTATTTCCATCAAGGATAATAACAAAACTGGTCTCCAATTCTGTAAGTTCTTTCCACTCTCTAAGGATATGTAGACAGATAGCATCCTATAAAAGGCGCTGCATCTTTTTAAAGCATGGTAACATAATGAATGCTGATGGAGAACTCTAAACGAAAGCCATTTCCTGCCCTGGAGATAAAATTTTACCTGTGAAGGAATGACAAACAATACTCCAGAAGATTCTCCCACTACTAGCCCCGTAAAGCTCTGTAGTCTTCAGGTTTATCTAGAATGTGCACTTGCTCCTACAGTGCTCATAAAACGCTTGCAAGAAGCCAGATTCAATTCCCTGGTTAAAATCAAATGGCCGCTGAGGTTCTCAGTGGAACAGTAGCAAGGTAAACCTTCCGCCTAGAATACTAACCTTCATCACTTTAGCTTTTAATCAAGTTACCATTACTTGCTGCCTGAAAACAGTGAGCCATTTAAAAACTAGTTTTAATCCAAAAAGACATACTAAAATTCAATCACCATGTCATTTTAGCATCCATATTAAAATATTAAGGAAAATTATCATGAGGACTGCCATTAACTTTGAAGTTTCTCCTGCTGAATTTGTCCAACTAGAATTCAAGATTATAAATCTGACCACTAGGGGGAAGTAATGAGGTCCTCTGCCTATAATAGAAACGGTCACCCAGGACAGGTCAGGCTATGAAAAGCCCGCATGAACTTGGATTGTCCAGTAAATGTAACTGTCAAGGCACTGCCTTTAAGAAAGCGATGTTCTATAACCTTTCAGTTAGTAATGAAAGACAGACCAATTTAATCTTTCCTTTTCCGGCTGCAACAATAGCTTTGGAGCCCCAGTGGTACAGATAAGTGTACAGTGGTACAGATAAGAACTGATTGCCTTAATTAAATCAACAAAAAAAGCCCAAGGTTGAAATCTATTTTTATTCCACAAATTGCAAAGTTCAAATCAACATTTTTCTTATTTCTCATAGCGACAGTATGGAGCTTTTTTTTTTTTTTTTTTTTGAAACAAAACAAACCAAAAAAAGTATGTTTGGGGGTTTTTTGTTTGTTTTTTTGTCACTCCTCCATAATTCAGCAACATCATCACTCACACCTGTTCCTCAAAAACTACTTCACATGTTTTTGTGTTTAAAAAATTGAGGGTCTCTACTCCTTAAGTGTGTGCTGTACATGGCAATCTCGTTTTAAAGAGTACAGTATGGGGGAATTCCCTGGCAGTCCAGTGGTTAGGACTCGGTGCTTTCACTGCTGGGGCCCGGGTTCAATCCCTGGTCGGGGAACCAAGATCCACAAGCCTCGCAGCACACCGCCACACCCCCCTCCCCCCCCCAATAAAAGAGTACAGTATGGAATACTTGATGGTGGAGAAATATGGCCAACACCACCTGGGCCAGGTGACCAAGGCCAACGTCGGCAGTCATCAGACATGTTGATATAGGCACCCTGGACATGATGTGATGAAAAGGACATTTTTCCTGTGTGCTCTTCCTCCCAATAACCCATAACCCCAGTCTAACCCAGAGGGAAACGTCAGACAAATCTCAAGAGAGGGACATTCTACAAAATACCTGACCAGTATTTCGCAAAACTGTCAAGGTCGTCAAAGAACAAAGAAAGCCTGAGACAATGTCACAGCCAAGAGGAGTCTAGGGAAACATGAGAACTAAATGTAAAGTGGTGTCATAGGTGAGATCTTGGAACAGAAAAAGGACATTAGATGAAAATGAAGGAAACTGAATAAAATACTCAGTGTATTGAGATTGGTCCACTAATTATAACCAATGTACCATACTAATGTAAGATGTTAATAACAGGGGAAACTGGGTGTAGGTCAGGTGGGAATTTTCTGTACTATTCTCATAATTTTCCTGTAAATCTAAAACTGTTCTTAAAATATACAGTCTATTTTAAAAAAAAAAAAAAGAAAGAAAGAAAGAAAAGAAAAATTAAGGGACATCCTGGCACTTCCACTAACTCAAGCTAAAAAGGATAACAGAAGATCGCTATGACCCTTGTGTGACCAGTACAATAACACAGAATGAAAATAGCAAGAGAATCTCTACCACCTGTTGTCTGCTCTACCACCTGGGTCTTACCATCAGCTGATACTCCAGTAAGGAGCAAAAGAGATTCTTCCCTCACACTCCACAAGGAACCCAAACTTCAGAGACAAAGCTCCAGCCTGGTATTTACTGAGAAACGCCCCTCTCTTGGAGGTGCTTTCTCTCATTAAGACCAAACAAAACATCATCAGAAATCCCCTTTCCAAGCCACTAGAGGATGGTTAATTCAAGGACCAGGCAAATTTCCAACACATTCTGGAAACCAGCTGTAACCGGTAGTAGGCACATAGATGAGCAGTCCACACCCATCACACACTCTACATTTTTGCTGCCTCTCGGCTTGTGTTCCCTGAGCCCTGCCTCACTCCACCCATATTAGTTTGCTGCCATAACAAAGTGCCACAGACTAGGTGGCTTAAACCACAGAAGTTTATTTTCTGAAAGTTCTGGAGGCGTGAAGTCCGAGATCAAGGTGTGGGCAGGGTTGGTTTCTCCCGAAGCCTCTCTCCTTGGCTTGCGGACGCCCACCATCTCCCTTGACCTCACATGGTCTTTCCTCTGTGCATGTCTGTGTCCAAATTTCCTTTTCTTATAAGGACACCAGTCATACTGGACAAGGGCCCCCACTAGTGACCTCATTTTCACCTAATAGCCTCTGTAAAGATCCTGTCCCCAAACACAGTCACATTCTGCTGTATTAGGAGCTAAGGCTTCAACATATGAATTGGTTGGTGAGGCGGGAGGGGGGGGGGGGGAAATTCAGCGCCTAACACCGTCTATCTCCCCCTTTCCTTTCTCCCCAGCTTAATGAAGTTTTTTCAGGTCTGAGAAGCCTGAATTATTCACATCACCTTCCCGTCTCCCTCAGCCCCTTCTTTATTTCTATCATCTTACATTTTGCCTTATATTAGTGTTGGTTCTGTTTCATAGAGCAAAGCCATAGAGACAGGAAAATCATCAGTGCCTGTGAAGAACTGAGTACTTTGGGGGTAACTAGAGGGCACATAAGACCAGCAGTGACAGGAGAGATGGGGCTGGAAAGTTAGAGGGGTTAGGATGGCACAGAGGTTTAAATTTTATCATACCTGTGCTTTGGGGAACACTAAAGCAATATATTATTGCAGTGAATATTATTATTACTTATGCTGCTTAGAATCAATCAAAATCCCCTTTCAAAGGTTCTTCCGACAGAACGGGGATGGAGGGAAGTATTTGGCGTGGGAGGTGGGAAGGTAAGCTAGGTAGCTACCACGAAAGTTCCAACAGAAGATTATGATACAGGTGTGCAATGATTAACTTTGTGTGTCAACATGGCTAGGCTATGGTGCCCAGTTGTTTGGTCAAACATCAGTCTGGATGTTGCTCTGAAGGTATTTTTTAGCTGTGGTAACATTTAAATCAGTTGACTGAGCAAAGCAGAATTACCCTCCATTATGTGGGTGGGCCTCATCCAATCAGTTGAAGGAGAAGGAATTCTACCTCCGGAGTGAAAAAATCCTACCTGCATTTCCAGCCTCTGGCCTGCCCTGCATACTTCAGATTTTCCAGTTCCTTAAAATAAATCTTAACTCTCCTCTCTCTGTCTCAGAATATACATATACTGTTTCTCCTGAGAACTCTAATACAGGTTGTACAAACAAACAAAAAGTGTGTGACGAGAAAAAAAGTGTGGAGATGAATGGAGGTTTAAATCTGAACAAGATTAGAAGCAACAGGAATAAAGACAAAGGGCTCTAACAATTAATGTGACAGTGTTTGCAATTTGTTCTTCTAAGACTAAACATGGCTCCTCTGGCAAAGGGTCAGGGACAAAATGATCTACTGATGCTCAAAAAGAACATATTAGAACATCTGCTTACATTTACTTTTATCCAATGTCTTTTCATTTCAATTTTCCTATGCTACACAAAATAGATTATATATTATATATATAATATACATATCAGTACATCTATAACACATATTAGTGCATGAATTAATTTAGTAATAAATATGCACATATTGAGGACATGTGCTCTGAAATTTGTCTGGGGACAAATGGATTTGAACGGAAAGGCATTTGATACTAAGGATATGGTTTAGATAATGATGACGCAGCCCATGGAGTCCCAGGGAGGCTTAGCAGCGGTCCAAGCAGACAGTTATCTGCTGAGGGCACATGGGAGACTCATTTCCAAGTCTAACAGTGCAGACACGCTCTGGGGCGGGGCAGGTCTACAGCAGAGGGCAGAACGGCAAGGGGCAACACTGCACTTGTGCGACTCTAGTGCTAACTTCTTAGAGGCAACAGCTCTCATAAAAGACTTCTGAGCTGGGAGCCACCAGCCTTAGACGCTTGTTTCAGCTCCTAGCTCTGCGAACTTCGCAAGCCACCACCTCTTGGAGCATGTCTCCCTATACCGTAAGGAGAGCTACGCCTTAAAGCTTGGCTTCTTCACACCTTCTCTGTCCTCCCGTTGGGCTCTCTTTACCCCTTATTCCTATCACATTTCGCCCTCCTTAGCTTTAGTTACACGTG